GTCTCAAAGTGATTCAGGGAGAACTGCTGGGTCTTACTCAGCAAAGAAGGGGTTTCAACATCCACCAGTGCAAAAGATTTCAAACCTCTCGGTCTACAGGCAAGACAATACAACAGATCCTCCAGGACCAAGTCCTATTCCAAAGGAAATGCATTCCCATGAATGGGAAGATGATTATGATAATCAAAAAGGAATGCCTTGGTTCAATAAGGTAAATCCTTTCCATAATAATATTTGCGCATTATAGTACAATTATTATGTTGTAATGATTTGAATTTATGCTGTCCTTTGTAAAATCAAGCACTAAAGCAGAAAATTATTTATGATGGAAGGAGTTTAATAAAACCACTTGAGTAGAATGGTGCTACACTGGTATTGTCCCTACTTCTAAATCAAGTAACATTTTAGTTCATGAGATTCTGGGATTTGCACTACTGTTTTGGGTGTAATTTCATCCTGTCTTTCTGTGAAAACTGAAGTTAAATGTCGTTGGTAATTGAAGTGACTTATAGAACTTTTAACAATTTTTCATGTAAAAGTACATGTGGCAACAAATTTCTATTCTATTCTAATTAAGAATGGGTGTATTTTAATTCCTAGGATAGTGAGGACAAACTAAATAATTCAAGTTACTGAACTGGCAGCATTCCAAACTCATACAGGGAGCATTTCCTAATTTGTAAAATGATTACATTCCTAAAAAAATGTCTAAAGTGCTTGGGGAATGCCAAGCCCTATTATTGATATGATTAGACAAAGTCATGATAGTTTTATAAAGAAAAAACATGTTTGACAAATCTATTAGAAATTTTTTGGGGTGTAACCAGTGACATAAACAAAGGAGAATCAGCAGTTGTCACATATTTGGATCTTCAAAAGGCAATGGTTCTGCACAAGAGGTTGTTCGATAAATCTAGAGATACTGGAATTGGGAGTAATATATTAAGAAGGATGGAGGGTTGGTTAGTAACCAGAAAAAGGAGATAGGAATTAATGTATTTTGTTTTGCATGGCAGAGTGTAACAAATGGACTGAATCAATGCTTGAATCTTAGTTATTTATAACCGTTATTCATTTTGCATGACGTGGACGTCGCTGGCTGGCCAGCATTTATTGCCCCATCCCTAGTTGCCCTTGAGAAGGTGGTGGTGAGCTGCTTTCTTGAACCACTGCAGTCCACCTGCTGTGGGTTGACCCACAATGCCATTAGGGAGGGAATTCCAGGATTCCAACCCAGCGACAGTGAAGGAACAGCGATATATTTCCAAATCAGGATGGTGAGTGACTTGGAGGGGAACTTGAAGGTGGTGGTGTTCCCATGTTTCTGCTGCCCTTGTCTTTCTATATGGAAGTTGTCATGGGTTTGGAAGATGCTGTCTGAGGATCTTTGGTGAATTTCTACAGTGCATCTTGGAGATAGTACACACTACTATTGTTGAGCTTCGGTGGTGAAGGGAGTGGATGCTTGTGGATGTAGTGCCAATCAAGCGGGCTGCTTTGTCCTGGGTGGTGTCAAGCTTCTTGAGTGTTGTTGGAACTGCACTCATCCAGGCAAGTGGGGAGTATTCCATCACACTCCTTACTTGTGCCTTGTAGATGGTGAAGAGACTTAGAGGAGTCAGAAGGTGAGATACTCGCCACAGTATTCCTAGCCTTTGACCTGCTGTTGTAGCCACTGCATTTATGTGGTGAGTCCATTTGAGTTTCTGATCAATGATAACTCCCAGGATGTTGATAGTGGAGGATTCAATGATAGTAACACCATTGAATGTCAAGGGGCGGTGGTTAGATTGTTCCTTGTTGGTGATGGTTATAGCCTGGCATTTATGTGGCGTGAATGTTATTTGCCACTTAACAGCCCAAGCCTGGATATTGTCTAGATCTTGTTGCATTTGGACATACACTGCTTCAGTGTTTCAGGAGTCGCAAATGGTGCTGAACATTGTGCAATCATTGGCGAACACTCCCCCTTCTCACCTTATGATGGAGGGAAGGTCATTCATGAAGCAGCTGAAGATGATTGGGCTTAGGACACAACCCTGAGGAACTCCTGCAGAGATGCCGTGGAGCTGAGATGATTGACCTCAAACAGCCACAACTATCTTCATATGTGTCAGGTTTGACTCTAACTTCCTGAGAGTTCCCCACTCCACCCCCAATACCCATTGATTCCAGTTTTGCTAGGGCTCCTTGATGCCACACTTGGTTGAATGGAGCCTTGATGACAAGGGCTGTCATTCTCACCTCACTTCTGGAGTTCAGCTCTTTTGTCCATGTTTGAACCAAGGCTGTAATAAGGTCAGGAGCTGAGTGGCCCTGGCAGAACCCAAACTGAACATCACTGCGCAGGTTATTGCTGAGCAAGTGCTGCTTGATAGCAGGGTTGATGACACCTTCCATCACTTTACTGATGATCGACAGTAAACTGATGGGGTGGTAAAATGGCTGTGTTGGATTTGTCCTGCTTTTTATGTATAGGATGTACTTGGGCAATTTTCCACGATGCCAGTTAGATGCAAGTGTTCTAACTGTACCGGAACAGCTTGGCTAGGGGACTTGCAAGTTCTGGAGCACAAGTCTTCAGTACCATTGCCGGAATATTGTCAGGGCCTGTAGCCTTTGTAGTATCCAGTGCCTCCAATCATTGCTTGATATCGAATTGGCTGAAGACTGGTATCTGTAATGCTGGGGACCACTGGAGGAGGCCGAGATGGATCATTCACTTGGCACTTCTGGCTGAAGATTGCTGTGAAAGCTTCAGCCTTATCTTTCACACTGATGTGCTGGGTTCTTCCATCATTGAGGTTGGGGATATTTGTGGAGCCTCCTCCTCTAGTGAGTTGTTTGATCATCCACCACCATTCACGACTGGATGTGGCAGGACTGCAGAAGTTAGATCTGATCCGTTGGTTGCAGGATCGCTTAGCTCTGTCACTTGCTGCTTATATTGTTTGGCATGCAAGTCATCCTGGCTTCACCAGGTTATCACCTCATTTTCAAGTATGCCTGGTGCTGCTCCTGGCATGCCCTCCTGCAGTCTCCATTGAACGAAGAAATCATGAGGATGAGAGGATTAAGTATGATACATCAAAGATTGCTTAGCGTACAAAACTATTTGAGAAAATAAGACACAAAAGGAATGTCTTGTAATTAAGTGATTGAGGAATAGAAAGCACATTAATTATAGTCTGGGAAGTGTGAAATTATTCCACATCAAAGGAAAGAAAAGTAGACTTTTTTTTGAAGAGTCAAGGTACTAATAACCGTTTGTGTTCAGAGGCTTTAGAGGTCTATGGAGAGGTAGTGATATCGTGGTAATGCACATGGACTTGTATTCCAGGGTCACAGATTATTGTTCTGGAGGCATGGGTTATGAATTCATCATGTGAAGTTCAAATTTAATTTCTGAAACAAGTATGGAATTCAAGGCCAGTCTAATGGCAACCAAGTAACTATTGTTGATTGTTGTAAAAACCATTTTGGCTCACTAATGTCCCTTAAGTAAGGAAATCTCTCATCTTTACCTGGTCTGGCCTGCGTGTGACTCTAGACCTGCAGTAATGTGCTCCACTCTTAATTGATCTCTAAAGTGGCCTTAGCAAACAATTCAGTTCAAGGGACAGTTAAGAATGAGGAATGAATTCTGGCCCAGACAACGATGCCAACATCCCATGAGTGAATAAAAAAAATGACACCTCGTTAACGTGCAGATACAGTAAAATTTGAAAGGCAAATGGTTTGTTAGCCTTATTTGCAAAAGGGTTTCAGTATGAGTTAGGAGATCTTGGTAAAATTATATTGCACTTTCATGAGATGATTCCTGATGTACTATACAATCATGAGTTCTTTATCCAAAAAGCCTCAGGACCAGCTGTTTTTGGATGATGGATATTTTTGGTTTTCAGATACACTCACCTTACCCTCTAAGATCTTTTCATTACTACACTGAAGGAGTCCATCACCAAGTTCAAGGAAGGCACAACACTGCTTGAATTCTCCATGGCATTTGGATGCTGTCACTGCTGTTCCCATTCCTGTAAAAGCTTTTGTGCTGACATGTCACTTACTTCTTTACCCTCCCCATGTGTTAGAAGCAACACTTTCTAGAAAATGTGCCAACAGAGCTCCAGAATCATTCTTGAGTACTTTCAGACATTTTCCATTGGGAAATGTTCTATAAACTGTACTTGCCAGCAATCAGACTGGATAGCCCTTTACATAATTCATGTCTTTTTTGTATCCTCTTCCAAGCTGGCCTGTTTTACCCAGCTGATCCATCCAACAGCAAAGCAGATTTGGATCTATCACCTATTTCACACCCTGCTATAGGCAATGATGCATTGGTTTCATACATGAGCTTTTGAAAAGTACAAATCATCAGAAAAGACTCAGAAGTAGGGACCCTCATTCATTGTTCTCCTCCCTTTCTGAACTCAGTTCCAGTTCTTCAGTTCCCATGATCTAGCTTGTATTGCAGGCAATGGTATTAGATCTGGATTATTCCTGGTTGTTTAATGTATCAGAACACATCAGAATGGTATTTTAAATTTGTAAACTAGATTTCTGTATGAAAAAAGCCTCAATTCAGAAATGTCCCTGAATGTGGGAAAAGGCATTTGATACATTAGACCCATTTGTTATGACACTATGATGTACATTAACCTATTTAACCTCTCAAGCCTATGGGGCCATCACACTCAAAATCAAAGTACCTGGTTCACATGAACCATTTGCATATTGATGTGTACCGGTTACGGTAAAATCTGTTAGAAATTTGGAAAGAAATGAAAAGATTTCATAACTTTATATTATCAGTAATGTATTCTTTAGGACATGTAGAGAGTAGAAAGAAATGCCTAGATTGGAGAGAGAAGAGGAACTGGGTTTATTTCAGGAGGCAATGAGATCTGATTTGAATAGAAAACAGATTTTTCATTCTCAATTTCAAACTCAAGAGAGGTTTAATTGATTGTGCTTCTGGAATTTGTTCTTGGCTCTAGATGTACTCCCTTGGTGATCAGTCTCCGGTGCAATATCAGAAACGTGTGGAAGAAGATGGAGTGGCAGATATGACCCAGCTGGAGTAAGTTCAACTGAATCCTCTCTCAACCACAGATCTCACATTCATCGTGATTTGGACATTTCCTAGTCCAAGTTAGACTTGACCTGGTCTTCAGCAATATGGGACTTCTCAGTCTTCCCATCCTGCAACCTATTCCCTTTTAATAATGCAGAATTTTCTGATTTATTTAGTCACCTTAGCTACTTTCGTCAGCTTCACTGGCAACCCTGCAGAAAAAGTAGCTTCTTCAATGAAACAAAAGGTTAACTCAAGCAATGCTCACAGTCCTGGTTACTAAGGCAAGGGTCCTCAAGTTGGTAAATGGGTTGGCAGAGTCACTCTTCATTCAATAGGGATGAGCTATGAATCAAACTTGATAAGACAATGCATAATAAGCTTAAAAGCATATATTCAGGGCAGCAGGATGGAAGAATGGTGTGCTGTGAATATGTAGGAAAGGTATGGGTTCCATGCAAGTAACAACCACTACTGTTACCTGTCCCCCAGGGAATCAGTGAAAATGAGGTATTTCCCCTGATGTACACACCTTAGCACCGTACATGCAATTTATGGAAGAGCACGTGTACAGCCCTTTATACAGCAAACTTACCTCTAAGCTTTTAAGAAAATTTGGTCTCATAATTTGTTATCTACTTAAGATATTTCTGGTTTATTTCAGAGACCTACATGATGGTGCAGTGTTGTACAATTTAAAGAAGAGGTTTGAACAACATATTATATATGTAAGTGGTTTAACATAAGTTATTCTGCCATGTTCAGGCCAAGAGAAGAGAACATACCACAAATTGTTGAATTTGGATCAGGGATCCTCAGTAACAGGAGTGAATGATAGTAAAAAACTGTGGATGCTGGAAATCTGAATCAAAAACAGAAATAGTTGGAGAAACCCGGCAGGTCTGGCAGCATCTGTGGAGAGAAAGCAATACGTTTCAAGGCCAGAGACCCTTCTTCAGAACTGATTCAGAACAAAACCTTTCACTGTACTTAGTTGCATGTGACACCAATATATCAAATCAAATGATTGTAGCTAGGAGAAGTTTAGTATATGTGCTGAAAATGGGTAGGGCGGCAGGGAAGGAATAAATGATAGGTTGAGATGGAGCCCAGAGAGAGACAAAAGCAGTTGGGCTGACACAAGAATGGACAATAGTGAGTCTGGGAGAAAGGAAAGCTGCTAATGGGCACCATTATCGAGTGAAAATAGGTTGGCTGTGCTTTCTGTCTGGGCTCCATCTCCACATATTGTTTGCTTCTTCCCCATTCCCCCACCTTCAGCATATATGCCACCTTTTCCTAGCTGCAGTTAGCTCTGGAGAAGGGTCACTGGACCGGAAACATTGACTGTGCTTTTCTCTACAAATGCTGCCAGACATGCTGAGTTTCTCCAGCTATTTTTCTTTTGGTTGTAAATGATAATAATCTTGATACCCAAAGAAATGTGAGTGGCAAGAAAAAGGAGTTTCTACAAGGCATACACTGTATTTTTTTGTATTCAACAGGAAGCTGTGTTGGATCTGGTTCTGGAAAATGAAGTGAGATGTGTCAATAGTGCAGAACTTAGAGGAATATCTATGAAATAATGACTCTTTTGGTCCTCTTTTGGCTTTTTCCCATGTAACATGGGCTCACAACGATGCTAGTTGATCACACTCACATCAGCCATCCTTTTGGATTAGGTAGGGGATTTTAGTCAGTTTCCCATCCTATCACTAACCCATCTCATTTATCCAGGCTGGGGAATGATACAAACTGGTTGCCTGCACCGGTGGCAACGTTCTTTCATAGCCTTCTGGAATCTGACTTGAACTCAGGGCTTTCTAGCTGAGAGGTGGGAGATATAGCAACTAAGTAACTCCAGCTTCCATTAAACAATGACAAAGCACTATTGTTTTAATGTAAAAATCAAAACTGAACAAAGATAAGAGCTATATTTCAGAATAAAAGACAATTTCAATACAATTAAAAGGATTTTGTTCACTAATGTCCTTCAGGGAAGGAAATCTGCCGTCCTTACCTGGTCTGGCCTACTTATGACTCCAGACCCTCAGCAATGTGGTTGACTCTTAACTGCTGTCTGGTCAATAAATGCTGGCCTAGCCAACGATGCCCTCATTTCATGAAAGAATAAAAAGAAACTTTTCAGTTAGACTTGCATGAATCTTAATAGATATGACAATGCACAACAGGAAAGTTTAAAATGGAAGGTATTTAGAGTCGAAATTGAGCATAGCGTTTCAAGCAGTAAGTGTTCAACAAAAGTTAGAGTCCCTCGAATGAGTGATGAAATTAAAATGTAATTAAGATTCAGTAAAGAGGCACATTATATATCCAGGACCCATAATATAAATAAATTCAAACTGAATGTAATCATTATAATTGCATAGAAAGAGAAGCTTTTAGAAAGGCTCAAAGGAGGAGTAAAGGGTGTCGGCAAGGGCTGAGAAAAAAAGTCAAGCACCTGTAAACACACTAAAGTAAAAAAATAGTGAAACACCAGTGATGCAAAACGAAGATGAAATCACAAACTATCTAGAGGATGAAGAGATTTTGGAAACACTTGTCTCATTTATTAGAAGGCTGTGACAATGGCACTCTTAGAAAGGGAACAAAGGCAAGAGATGGAACGATTAGATGCTTTGGACAAGCTAACCAATCAAATTAACATCAATAAGGTATGAAATTCAAGAGGTCAGATTGTGAGATAAATCTAACACTCTTCTAGAAAGACATGGAGTCATTAAGACTCATTGATTCATGAAAGCCAAATTACATATGATGAATCAAATTGGTTTATTTGAAGAAACTCAGGACTGTATTGATTAAAGAATACATTAGATGTATTCTCAAATACTTTTGATAAGGTGGAACATGGAAGGCTAGTTGATAAAATTGAATGAAACGGTATTAAAGGGAGACTAGCACCAAATACAAGAAATTGGCTAAAAAGCAGCGAACCAAAATGTTGAGAATGGTTATTTTTAGGCTTGGTGATATATATTTTCTTCCAAGGTGTCTGTGTGGAAAACTATGGAAGTCAATTAAACCCATCTCAAATTTGAAAAGATTGGCATATAAGAGATTGTTCCAGTGGCTGGAAATACTTCTCACTTCTCCCCACTCCCCCAAAGTATCTCTATTCTATTGTATCTTTACTAATGTTAATCCAGCCTTTTCATCCAGGAACACAGTCATGCAATAAGATGTCATTGTCATGTCCTGTTGTACAGATTATATGACTCCTCATATAAATTCAATCTCCTCACACTTGGTATTCCCTCTCTCCAGTGCTCTGTTTAACTAATTTTATATCTGCTAATATTGATTTAGCTCCCTCACACCGTTCACCCTTGCCCCTCCCCAATACGTCTGTATTTCTGAAGTTTTGCTGTTGTGTTTACAATGATTTTTACCACCTGGCAATCAAGCCAACAAAGGCCTGTTGTCCACCCATTCAAAGCTCTATCCTCCAAGGATATCTGGACCACCACCCAGATTTCTTAATTCAGGATTTAAATTTTATTTTAGCTTTTAGTTGCCATTCAGCATAGGTCAGCAATCGAACCTAGCAGTATTTTTACATAAGTCTAATCAGTATGCAGAAATTGTAAAGGTTAAACACAATAGAAGGGGGAAATAAGGTAAGAAGGGTTTAATTGAATAACTGCTCTCACAGGCATAATGGGTTGAATTATCCCCGTGCTGCTTCATTTTGTCATTCTGTAAGTTATACAGATCTCCTAATAGGCAGAATGTTAACTATTAATTTTTGTATTAATTCCGTTATTTTATGCAGGTGGTTGGGCTGGGAGGGCATGCTTGTAATGAGTATTTTATCTCTATAAATAAGTGCTTATAAAAATATGTAAATACTAACTTCAGGGCTGTCCATTGCTTCTTGAAATAGTACAATTTAACATTCTGATTTCAATAATTAACTAATTTCATTGTCACAAAAAACGGATGAAAGGTTTGCAAGACACAGGTGAGTTGTTTGTTCAGGGTTATTGCCAATAAATCACACTCACCTTAACCACATCTTCATAACTGTATTTGTTTTCTTTCCCTGCAGACATACATTGGCACCATCCTTTTATCTGTAAATCCATATAAAATGTACAACATTTACGGGACCGATACAGTGATGAAATATAAAGGGAAATCATTTGCAGAAAACCCACCGTAAGTGCCCAACAATAACTTCAGTTGGAATTGGGGAATAATCAAAGAAGGTGCACAGAGTGAATAATCTCACTCAAGCAGCAATTCAGTTGCTAAGTGCCATGGATGACTGCTGTTTGCTACCTTGCAATCAGTGCTTGCAAGTGGCTGTATTAAGGGCAGAGTCCAGTTTGTCTACCTTGACCCTCCATGTATGACTAGTCTGCTAATACCTTAAGAATGGCTGTTTGCTGAGGTACTGCCAACACCTGGACCTCCCAAAGCTCAGAAAAGGAGAGGAGAGAAATAGGGAAATGTGTAAAAGAAGAGCGATGAGACCTGCTACAGAAGGAATTTGCATCCTGTGGCTCAGATTAAGCCAAGTCTCTTAACTGAAAGGCGTGACGAGCAGTATTGGAAAAAGAGAAAGTAAGTCCTCTTATATTGAAATATTAGAATGTTTAGTGACTTCCATATTCTTGTGTTTTTGTTGCAGACATCTCTTTGCCATTGCTAATGTGGCCTATTCAAAAATGGTTGATGCCAAACACAATCAGTGCATTATAATCAGGTAAAGAGTTTTGTTTTTGACATTGAGTTCTTGGCTGTAGTTTGAGGCATGTAGACATCCCCACAGTCCACATAAGGATCTTCAGTTGTCCAAACTCAAGATCTTATGCTCATTGATAAGCATTGGTAATTTCACACTGTCAAGAGCCCAGGAAACATTGTCATTCATTTATATATTTATTAATTTATTACTCATCCTTGGAGTATCAGTGTTGCTGGTAGTGATAGCAGTTTTGTCTATCACTAATTGTCCTTCACCAGATGGTGACAAGCCGGCTTCTTGAACAAATGTTGTTCATCTGTTGCAAGTACACCCACAGTGCTGTTAGGGAGAGAATCCCAGCATCCATAGTTCTTTGGGTTTTTTTAGTTCTAATTCAGGATGGTGTTCAACCTTGGGGGGAAACCTGCAGATGTGGTGTTCCCATGCATCTGTCACCCTTGTTCATCTAGCAAAAATCCCACTTTATAATGGAGGGTAGGTCATTGAAGAAGCAGCTGAAAATGGTTGGATCTAAAACACTGCCCTGAGGAATTTTCGCAGTGATGACCTGAGGTTGAGATGTTTGGCTTCAAATAAGTACAACCACTTTCCTTTATGCTAAAGAATTTTCAATGTGATTCTCATTGACTTCAATTTTGCTGGGGTTCCTTGATTCAACACTCTGTCAAATGCAGCCTCAACATGGAAGGCAGTCACTCACACTTCAGCTTTGGAATTCAGCTCTTTTGATTGTGTTTGAACCAAGGCTGTACTAGGAACTGGAGAAATAAAACCCTGACAGTACTTAAAATGAGCTTCAGTCATTGTGACTAGTGTATACATGCTACTCCAAAGACCTGATGATAATCCATTCATCACTGTTGATTATTAAGAGTAGGCTGAGGCAGTAATTGTCTAGGTTGGAGTTATCCTACATTCTGTGGCTAGGACACACTAGTGCAATTTTCCAAATTGACAGGTAGATTTCTCTATTATAGTTATATTGGAACAGCTTGGCTAAGCGCTTAGATCTTCTGGAACATAGGTTTTCAATACTTAATGGGTGTGTTGGCAGGTCCCATAATATTTTCTGTAATACAGTACCTTCTCAATGTCATGTGCAGTGAATGGATTGGCTAAAGACTGGCATCTGTGATTATGGGGACCTTAGGAAGTAGATTATCTGCTTGACACTTCTGGCTGAACATAGTTGCAAATGGTTGAAATGGCTTTTTGTCATCATATGCTGGCCATCATCGAGAATGGGAATGTTTGTAGAGGTTCCTCCTCTGGTTGGTTGTTTAGTTGTCTGCTAGTTGTGATGACTGGATGTGTCAGGACTGTTGAGTTTAGATCTTCCCATCTGGTTGCAGGATTACTTTGCTCTGTCTGGCACATGTTGTTTGTGCTGTTCAATGTGCTTCAGCAGCACAGCACCTCATTTTTAGTTTAGCTTGGTGGAGCTCCGATCATGCCATCCAGCACGCTTCATTGAACCAGAGTTAATCTCCTGGCTTGAGGATATTAGTAGAATGAGGGATGTATTGGGCATTGAGATTACAGATTGTAATTGAATAGAATCCTGCTATTGCTAATGGTCCATGGTGCCTAACAGATGTCCAGTTTTGTGCTGCTAAATTTAATCTGAGTTTACCCTATTTACCATGGTGCTAGTACCACAATACACAAAACAGTCTATTCTCATTTTGAAGGATGGAACTTTGATTTCCCAAGTGCTATGCAGTTATCATTCCTCCCAATAATGTCATGGACAGATGCAGGTCCAACAGATAGATTGATTAAGGCATTTTTTTCTTATTGTTCCCTCGCCTCTGCCATAGGCCCTCTACGTCCTTCAGGATGCAATTAACGCAATCATTATTGGTACTGATACAGAAGCACCACCCTTTCTGTCCTGACAAGGGCAGCCAGCATTTTCCTCTCTCCCATGGCTGTTCAGTTTCCTATCATTCTTCCCCATCTTCATCTTTTCCAGTTGGTTGGAGGTGACTGGGAGAGATTTCCTTTGGAAACAGGGGTTTGTGGATCAGCTCATAACCATTGCCAATATGCTGACCTATCTGGATCAGTCCCTCTCTGTTCCTCTAGGCACATTCTTATTGAAAAAGAATTTAAATTGTTAAACTCTTCAAGGACAATTATTTCATTGAGATTTTCGTAAGTGCCTTCTGTTTTAAGTGCCTGTACTCACTGGTCAAAAACAAGCTGCTTATGCTTTTCAAATTCCAAGTATGTCTGGTGAAGCCTTTTGCTCAGGATATGGAATTTTTGGCTGTAAGTCTCCAGCACTAATTGGTACACGCTTAAAATAGTCATTTTTGCTGCCTCATTATTAATGGCACTTTCCTCAGGCAAGAGGGAGTGAATCTCATGAGCTTTGAATGCTTATTCTGGAATAAAAGGACCAATGTAGGACTGGCCACTTTAGCTGCTGTACAACCTGCTCAAAAGAGATAAAAGAAGTATTCGACCTCTGCCTCATCAAAATTAGCAATTAAATGAGTAAACTGAATTGCCCCTGCCCTTACATCTGAGCCAGTGGTGTCTTCATACCAGGATTCCTGCCCCTCATCTCAAGCTGTCTTAGTTCAAATTTCATTTTTTGCCATTTTTTCTGAAATTCTCCCCCTCATCTCCTTGTTATTTCCTCTTTTCCATTTCTATCTCTCTTTCTTCTTTCTCTTTCACTTGTGTGTGTCTCTCTTTTTGCCTTTCCTTCTCTTCTCCTTGAAATTCTAATTGCCTCTGCTCCAAATGTAATTTCTTTACCATTACTTATTCATCACATCATCTTCAGTTTCCACCTGTAAATTGTTGATTGCTCCTTTTACAATTTTGTGCTTCCTGGCTTTTGGGTGAAATTCTAATCATCGCTAAATGGTGTAATTGTTCAAGAACTTTAAAGTCATCAACAGTAATCTCCCCTAATTCTGCTAGGAACCTGTATCCAGTGCAGACATTTCTATACTGTAGCAGTGCAAACCCAAGAAAGCCTTTTGCAGTTTTTAAAAACAAAATTAAAATGGTAATTTGCCCTCTCTAATTCCTTCCTTTCACCTGTTGGCTCAAATCATGAAAACAAACCACAAATTGTTATGATCAGTCCCAAGGCAAGGTTCCCTGATATGTTACCATTCCAGATGAGATACCCCTAATCATTAAGCTCCCAGAGAGAAGGGTTGAACTTGCTCCCCTTCTTTTTTTCACTCACCCTCTTAATTGTTTGTCACAAGGTTAATTTACAAAGGATCCCTCTGATATAGATACCTTTCTCTCAGACCAAATGAACTTCTGTTTTAAAAGTTGTCAATTTAACCAGGCTTTCTTTGCTTAACAGAATAGCGACTTTATTAGCAACTAAACATGAGAAGAATTAGTAACACAACACATATTACACAGGTTAGGAATAACACATGAGTCCAAAAAAAATAAAAGATTAAAAATAAATGTATGCATCTGTCTTTGAGTCGTTGGTGAAGATTTGATAATAGAACTGTTTGGCTGTTACATTTGATGGTAAGTTTGGTGTTACATTTGGTGTTTGAACTTTAAGTTTTGAGATTCTTGGCTTTGCAGGATGGCTAAAATTCCTTTTGTCCTGGTTCCTTTCAATGGTGGCTAGCTATCAGCAGAGTGTGAGACTGACTTTTCCCTTTCTTTAATTGCGTTGCAGCATTGTTTAATAGCTGTTCTCAAACCTTCGCAGCACACAGGTCCACACACTAGACCACTGGGCTACAAACACATACAGACCACAGGTTGCAGTCAGTTTTTAATGCTTTTTTTTCTATATTTCTACTTTTCTATGTCTGTAGGAGATGGTTTCCTGCTGAGGTGTGGGAGGGGAGTGGGGGTGTGTCTTTCTGTTTCAAGTTTGCCTGATTGGACAAGTATGACATTCCATGGATCCATACAGAACTGTGCTAGCCAATCGTTTAATTTGCATTCGCAGTCATCTTTCGGCTGAAACAATCTTCCTTTTAAAAAAAAGACAGAATAAAAGTTTAATATGTCCATAAGCATTTCAGGGTTCTGATCTCTCATCGTGATACAGCAAGGCAAAAGGATCCTACACTCATTGTGTTTCTTTCTATGTTTCAAGTGGTGAAAGTGGATCAGGCAAGACTGAAGCCACCAAACTGGTCCTCTGTTATCTGGCTTCTGTACACCACACACGCAAAGACAACGTGACACAACAGGTAACTTATAGCAGCATTCAATCAGTTTTCTTGACAGTTACCCTTCCAAAGAAACTAATTTCTAAATATTAGATACCAAGTTAAAATTCTTTGTAATTAGCTACCCTCCCAAGAAGCCATTCTTTACATGTGAATCTATCTTCCATGTATCTTAAAGTCCTTATGGTCCAGTAGGTGTTGCTACACATCAGTAGCTTTGGTACTGCCAACCTCATCTTTGCTCATGGATGCATTTTCCACAGGGGCAACTAGTTATCAGGAACAGGTGCACTAAAGGGCCTGTTCTTTTCTGGGGATTCTACACCTTACATATGATTACTCTTCATGTACCAGCCTGCACTTGGTGTTGGTGATCTGGATTTGAAGTAGCTCATAGGTTGACCTAATACAGTCTAGCAGAAAAAATGAAACAGCAAATCATGAGCAGGAACTTTTGTAGATCTATTTTCTCATTAATTTCAAGTCATTGAAGCTAATTTGTAGCCAATTCTACATGCTATCCAAAGTCAGTTATATCACCAGGTCAGGCACCTTGGAAATTGGACAAAGTAGCATCAGATCAGATTTCACTAAGTCCTCGTCTAACAAATGAAGGTACTGGGGTTCAACCTTAGTTTAAATTAGGAACTCACTAATCATTATCACAGGAACACATGTTAGTCAACCATGTTCCACCATTGAGTTATGTCATAGCTTAGTTGTACTGCAACTCCATTGCATCTTTTGCATCCCCTGATAACCTTATCTGCCAAAACTCCATCCATCTCAGTCTCAAAAAATTCTATTGACCCCCAATGTTTTTGAAGAGAGAGTTCCAGAATTTCACTGGTGTGGGCCAAAATCAGGTGACTGACTAGTTAAACCAGCTCAAACAAACATAATCCAACAAAAGTGAAGATGTAAAGCTTCTGTTATTGTCTATTTGGGGTTGATTAATTTATGTGCAGCTTCAGCCACTCATTTTAGGATAGGAAAGATATTATCTGTCAGTTAGCTTCCACTTTTCTATAAATAATGAAAGCCAAAGAAAGAGCCCCAGCTATCCAGCCTAACCCATACAGTTGTCATGTCTTCCTCATAAGATAACCTACCCAATCCAGGTAAAGATGTGGTAAACTTTCTCTGAACCTCCAATGCATTTACATCCTTTCTTAAATAAGACAACCATACACAATACTTTCCAAATGTCAGACAGTAGGCTAACAGGCCTCTAGTTTTCTCTTTCTGTCTTCTTTTCTTCTTGAACAGAGGAGTTTGATATCTTTTAATTGAATGAATCTTCCCCGTATCTAGGGATTCATATAAAGATCTAGCATTGCAAATGGCATCTGACCAAGGCTTTACTTAGGCCAAAATAGTAGGCTTTTGATCTGATTTGGAAAGGGTGTGTGCTGTTTTTGGTGATATGTACCACATGTTTGATGTCATTTACATCTTCTGCCTTTTTTTTCATTATTGCCCCTTGATGCCTGTGAAGATTGAGGTAAGGTACTGATGGCTGTCAGTATCTCCAATAAGAAGTCAGAATACATATCAGTTAAACACATTTGCTTTAAATGCAATTAAAGAGGCAGCATTGTCATTCCAAATGATTTGGCAAACCTTGGAAACTTCAAATTAAAGCCAGAAATTCTATAAATATACCAGGCCCATCAGTAGCTGCAGAGAATTTGATTCATGTTTTAGGGAAAACTCCCAACAAAAGATCTTCAACCAGATCTTGACACAGATTGATTTTAATCATTGTGCTAGTCAGGATATGTAGGGTATTGACCTGACTGCCCATTGATACTTCCCACCTGATCCAAACAACCAAATTGGATTAAAATCTTTTTACTTCTAAGAAGTGAATACATTTGTTGTGCGTTCCCTGTGTTTGTGTGCTGGGAACTGTAGTTTCTGTAAATATGTAAAATTGAAAATTACGAGAGAGTTTAACTGTTCGTATCATTGACAAAAGTTCAACAAGTTTACACAAATTGCACATTTTGGGAGTATTTTTTCAAGCATCCTTTTGTCAACTGTAAGTCATAGAATCCCTACGGTGTGGAAACAGGCCCTTTGGCCCAACAAGTCCACACTGACACTCACAGCATCCCATCCCCCATAACCGACCTGGTCTACACATCTCTGAACACAATGGGCAATTTAGCATGATCAATTCATCTAGCCTGCATATCTTTGGACTGTGGAAGGAAACCAGAGCACCCAGAGGAAAGCCACGCAGACACAGGCAGAATGTGCAAACTCCACACAGACAGTCACCCGAGGGTGGAATCGAATCTGGATCCCTGGCACTGTAAGGCAGCAGTGCTAACCACTGAGCCACTGTGCCACCCCTGGTGAATCACTTGAATCATTATTACACAGAGGATAGACCAGTCTCAGGAATAGTGGATCATTACGAAACGGAATGTAGAATACATTTGTGACAGGTCAAGCTTTAATAAATGGAGCATAGAAAATCCTGGAAGCAGGTGACTTAATTGGCCCTGGATATTCGTGGAGTAAAATTGCAAAATGAAGAGACAGTACACCAACCCATTTAAGGAGTGAACTTTGTGTTTCCCTTTAAGAGTGCAATGGATCAAAATAGGTCAATTTAAGTGCATTTCTTTAAGAAATTGGTTGTTATTTTGTGCTCAGTTCCAGAGAAGAACTTTGAACTTTTCAACTTATTAAAGTTTTCCTGAACAGATCCTTGAAGCCACACCCCTTTTGGAGTCCTTTGGAAATGCCAAAACTGTTCGAAATGATAACTCCAGTAGATTTGGAAAGTACATTGAAATATTTTTGCAAGAGTAAGTATTAATATTTGTTTTCTGTCACAATCTGAAGTTCAATGCACCCATTCATTTGCTTACTCACTCATTTAGGTCACCAACACTGTGTTACAGGAGTGCTAAACACTGAAAGTTGATTTTTAATCCAGTACCAATAACATTCTCTTTTTACAGTGGGGTGATATGTGGTGCCATAACCTCGCAGTATCTCCTTGAGAAGTCGAGGATTGTGTTTCAGGTGTGTCTTGCATTACAGTTTTATGTTTCAAATCATAGTGCCCATCTCTGTATGGCTGTGGCCAAACTGTATTTTCGGCTTGATGCTGACACAAGTCAGGAGTAAAATGTACCTCTTGAGTACCATATCTTGTGGGTACTTCAACTTCATGTCAGCAGAGAATGCCTCAAAAGATTGAAACTGTTTCATAGAACATAGAACATAGAACAGTACAGCATGGTACAGGCCCTTCGGCCCACAATGTTGTGCCGACCTATTATCCTACTTTAAGATCAATCTACACCGCATAGCCAACATTTTACTATCATCCATTTGCCTATCCAAGAGTCGCTTAAATGTCCCAAATGTACCTGACTCCACTACCACTGCCAGCAGCGCATTCAACATGCCCACCACTCTTTGTGTAAAGAACCTACCTCTGACTTCTCCCCTATACTTTCCTCCAATCGCCTTAAAATTATGCCCGCTTGTAGTAGTCATTTCCGCCCTGGGAAAAAGTCTCTGGCTATCCACTCTATCTATACCTCTCATCATCTTGTACACCTCTATCAAGTCACCTCTCCTCCTTCTTCCCTCCAATGAGAAAAGCCCTAGCTCCCTCAACCTTTCCTCATAAAACCTGCCCTACAGTCCAGGCAGCATCCTGGTAAATCTCCTCTGCACCCTCTCTAAAGCTTCCACATCCTTCCTATAATGAGACGACCAGAACCGAACACAATATGGCCTTTAGTTTTGGACTCCCCTACCCTGGGGAAAAGATCTTGGCTATCCATGTCCCTCATGATTTTACAAACCTCGACAAGGCCACCCCCTCAGCCTCCGACGCTCCATGGAAAAACGCCCCAGCCCATCCAGCCCCTCCCCACAACCCAAATCCTTCAGACCCGGCTACATCATTGTAAGTCTTTCTGCACCCTCTCTAGTTTAACAAATTGGCACCTTGCGATGGCTGGGAAATGAACCCGCGTCAACAGTTTGGAAGGCAGCTCTGCTTACCACTGTACCACCATCGCTTGGCACTTGGTCAGAGTATAGCCTGTTACATTGTCCAAATAGCTGCCAGTTGGGGATCTGCTGGTTAGATTTCTGTCTCGGAGTGAAAGGCTTGTGGGTTTGAGCCCCCACTCCTGAATACACAATCTCAGGGGGCACAGCGAATGCCAGCACTGAAGGAGCACTGCGATACATCAAGCTCAGTTCTGTCTGCATACCTTTCTCCCTCTCCAAACCTGGCAGGCGCTAAAGGAGTCCAGGGCCACAACTTGCAAGAGGAACAGGGATTTACACTGATCCCCTCCAGTCCTCATCTCTGATGTTCATTCACTGGCCAGCGAGGAAGCATACTGCACGCTCTGCATCACATTTTGTGGGATCTTGCTGTGCCCGAGCAGGCAACCGTGTCCCCCTGCATCACACTCATGACTACTCGACAACAAAAACGCTTCAGGGGCCGTGAATGATGAGGCCACGGTGGGGAGCCCCACACACAATGTCTCAAATGATCTCAACATTCAATAAAGTATAAGAGCTCCTACATCATGAGCATTAGCCTGTAATTTTGGTCCTCAGTCCTAGTCAGAATGTTCAGAATGCTGGAAATTATATATGTGTAGGCTACATCTTAGGATATGAGGAGGACACACTTATTGGAGCAATTCTAGCCAAGCCTATGTGGTTTGTTGAATTCAATGGAGAGTAAATTTGAGCAGGTCTTAAGCTGTGTGGATGATCCATGCTGTTACTTATGCACTGGCTGGGCCACTTTAAAATTACCTCACTGCTTGCAGTCTGTATGACTAGGTACATTCTAGCTGGTTGGCAATGGAACTGGGGATTATAGATACTCCCAAGCAGATATAAAGGTATCTAAAGAAAATTGGCCTTTGTGTATTTGTCCCCTCATTGATGTAACAGCTAATATTTGAGAAAATTTTCCATTTCACTCTTTTTGTCACATAAACCGTGTGGATGTCTTTCTTCTATCCAGTAGTAGCCAACCATCTGTCTTGTGTTTTTAATTTCCAGCATCCACCAGTCTTATTGTACTGGTTGTGCATTTCCACAGTTTGGCTTTGTGATTGTAATGCGGCCATCACTCATTATGTTCATACAATAACGATTAATGAGGACACTCCAGCCAATGCAATAAATAAGGACAGCCACAAAGGACATGGATTCTACTGATAAATTCAATTTTGTTAGGGATTTCACTCAGTCTGAAATAAATTACTAGAAACAAGAAAATTAGGGCTTTCTATTATATTCAGAAAATGGGTGGAAATTAGCTTCCTTTCCTTTCTTTTCAAAATCTAGGCCAAAAATGAAAGGAATTACCATATTTTCTATGAGATGCTGGCAGGACTCTCGAGCCAACAGAAGCAAAGATTCTATCTTCAGGAGGCTGAAACATACTACTACCTGAATCAGGTAAGTTAGTTAAATGATGCAGGTACAACCTGCACTGAGTCGTTGAAAGTGTTGCCTGGTGTAGAATAAGTCACAACAGTGATAAAGGTTTTGTGGTTTAGTCCTCATCTGTAGTTTTCCTTGTTATTGCAATGTGCGCAATACTATTATGATCACATGACTGTCCATTGCTAATTGTATTAACAAAGCAGTGGTGGTCCTTTGCCTTGAACGGCAACAATCACTTTACAGGAAGTATTTCCATAACAGTAAGCTATTCCAGGATGCTCACATGATGATAAAGTCATGTCAAAGTTAGGGTGCATGATTTAGACATGATGGTGTTCCCATGACACTTATGCATGTGTCTTTCTCAGGGATAGAGATTATAAGAAGTGCAGTGCTGTTTAAACAATCTTGGAGTTATTGCAATGTATCATGTAGATTATAAGCATTGCATCCACGGTCCATCATTGAGGAATCAGATCAGACAGAAGTCAAGTCCAGTGGTAGAGGTATTGAACACAAAAAAATTGTTGCTGTGGTGCTGCTGAGCTTCTTGAGTACTTTTGCAGCTGTGTCATGTCCAGCAAGTGGTAAGTAGTCTACCATTTGGAACAAAACACATACTTAATCAATAGACCAGGCACTACTTGAAATGCAGACCCATTCCACCACGAGTGCGCAATGGCAGAATTGTATACCATCTACAAGATGCAGCAGCAATTCACCAAGGTTCATATGAGAGTATCTGCCAAACCCATGACCTCTACAACCTCGAAGAGCAAGGGCAACAGATGCATGAGACCACACATTGGTCTGGCTTTGAACTACATCAATGTTCCTTCACTGTCACTGAGTTAAAATCCTGCAACTCCTTCCTTGTATGGTTGTACTTACACAAGATGGACTGCTGTAGTACAAGAAAGCATCTTGCCACCACATATTCAAAGGCAGTTAGGGAGGAGCAAAAACTGCTGCTTATGTCCCAAACAATTAAGAAAGAAGTTCTGACTTGAACGTTGTAGATAATGTAGATACTTTGAAGGATGAGTCAAGAAGTAACTCATCTTTGCGGGATATAGCTCCTGACCTTGTGTTGTGTTGATCTTGTTGGTCCAGTTAAAATTCTAGTTAGTGGTGCCCTGAATGTTGCCAGTGGAAAATTCATCAATGAATCATTGATGTTGGGCTGTCTGGGTTTTCACGAAGTGATCAGGAATTCTCACCTCCCCAGTACATTTATGGTACATTTCCTATCACATGCCTAACCAAATCTGGATTTCTCTAAGTCCTGCATGGACTAGCATGTACTACTTCAGTGTAAAGGAATCTGTAATTGGATCCTCTGCTACAGTGCTCAGCTTATAATGGAAGGCAAATCATTTCTGAAGCAGCTAAAGTAATGATGTCCTGGGTCTAGTTGGTCCCTGACAAAAAAAGTTCATCTTCTGTATACCAGATATGACTGCAGCTGCTGAATGATTTCTCTTTGACCCTTTCATCTTGCCCTGTTGACTTTGGTTGTATAAGCCTCATGTACCCTACATGCAATTTACTGACACAATTGATGACTTCTACCATCACTTTTTTCGTGATTGGATAAAGGCTACAAGGATATTCATTGGCCAGATATGTTTACCCTACTTATTGTGAACAGGATATGCATGGACACTGTTAGCTATTAATGGGTAGATGCTGGAGTTATTGTTGGACTGGAGTATCTTGACTCAAAATTAGTTCTAGTGCTCTGGTCTTTTCTATAATTGGAATTCTGTTAGGGCATGAAATAACTTCACAGAGGCCCTATCCTGTCACCAAGTCACCCCTTATTTACACGCGGTAAGTCCTTGACACTCAGAGCCAAGTTTCAGAATGTCTGACACATCTGTTTTTATCTGTCAGACAGGGCTCACTGATTGGGCCACATTAACAGCCTCAATCAGGGGACTCCTATTCTACCTGGCTGGTCTCGTTACAGTCACTCTAGGACACATACCCTTTGCTGTATTCAGTGCACCCTGCCACCTATTATCACATAAAGAAACCTCAGGTGGCTGATTTATGGCATCAATCATGGTGAGGATCTCATTTGTTCAATAGGCAGTCACTTGAAAGTAACATTTAAAACAAAATTTGTTTTCGCAGGGAGGAAACTGTGAAATTTCTGGGAAGGATGATGGGGAGGATTTCCACAGGCTACTCAGCTCAATGGAGGTGCTCAGTTTTAGTCCAGATGAACAGAACAGCATCTTCCGCATTCTCTCTTCAGTTCTTCACCTTGGGAATGTCTACTTTGAGAAATATGAGGTTTGATTTTTAGACTCTTACTCTGAAATGAAAATAAAGAAATACTTGAAGCACTCAGCAGGCCAGGAAACATTGTGGAGAGAGTAAAGTCTTGCTCTTATAAAGCACCTTTCATGAATATTGGACATATCAAATTGATTTACAGACAATAATTTACTTTAAAATGTAGCCAATGTTGTGGTATAGGAAATATAGCAGCCAACTTCTGCACAGCGTGCTCCAACAACCAGTAATGTTACAATTAAAAGATATCTGTTTGTGTGATTTGCTTGGTGAATAACAGTTTTCACAGACACCAGGAAGAACTTCCCTGCTCTTCTTTGAAACAGTGGTTTAGCAAGAACCCCAATGTTGTTCATTGTTTTGGCTGTAATTCCATGAGCCTGTTCTGTCAGTGATGCTCAGGACACTGAGGTTTTAGTGTTTTGCCTGACCTGTACCACTGCCTTCTCTAGTCCCTCACAGATAGCAGCTTAAGGAAATTCACCATGAGAAATGGATTTCTTGGATTGAACTACATGCTGAGAATTAATGAAAGTCATATTGCTGGATTATTGTAATAGCCGTATCTGCTGTGGATTGTATTAAGAGTTAAAAATGTAAGGTTTCGGTTTAGTGTAGATTGAATTAGAGGGGTTTTTTTTGCTTGATTATGCCTATGTGCATCTATAACTTATGCTTGGACTTTTAACTTAGGAAATGCATGCGTATTTACAAACAATGCTTGAACTATGCTTGAACTATTTTAGAACCAAGAAACCCCTTAAGTTGTTGTGGTAATTTCTGAGGGTGGAGTTATGTTCTAAATGAAAACTAGTTAGGTTTGTTTTTAAAACATCAGTAAGGCTGAACCTCGAAGCTGTCAAACAAAGGTTTGCTATGCTTAATCAAGTAACTTAGTTTTATATATTTAGAGATAGAAATAATGAGTTTTAGAGAATCGGATAAGACCAAGTATCTAAAAAGAGAGAAGTCAAGCTATGAAGAAAAAGCCAAGGAAGTATCCACTTGTGTTTGGAGGGCTGTGGTGTGTGATTGTCAGTGTCACCAGTAGATGAAGCAGGATGTCATATTGGTAGAGATTAAGAAGATTTAATTCCATTGGATTAAGGTTAAGGTAGGAGTTTAAATTGTTTAGAATAATTTTCTTGTTTGGTCAGTGTACATATTTAATCATTACTGCTTGTGTTTTGTTTTGTTCAAGTTTGTACAGTAAAGATTCTTTTGTGTTTCAATTTGATCCTGGAGTCTTGCCACTTAATTTCTTACCATTGGTTAAGAAGTTTTGAAGGTTTACACATTGAATAATGCATTCTTGGAAGGTTTACATCTCACTGTAGAGGTACAGATTATTTGATAAACTTCCAAATATTCAGCAGTAAGCTTTGATTGTGTTCATAGCTGATATGACTTGTCAGAAGAAAAGTTGGTAAGTTGTTCTCTTAGTGACACATTATTGGATGTCATTGTTTGAATCTAATATTTTTCAACCAAGATTGCTGTCAGTTAAGGAATGACTGGAATCTGTCTCATTGATACACTCACATGTTTATATGTTACAGACAGACTCACAGGAGATTGCTTCAGTGGTAAGTGCTCGCGAGATTCGAGTGGTGGCAGAACTGTTACAGATCTCTCCTGAGGGGCTGCAGAGGTCCATCACGTATAAAGTGACAGTAAGTTCAATTCACTGAAGCCACAGATCATGGCAGCTCATAATGAAACTTTTTAAGGTCAGTTTCCATGTGGAAACGTACCTCATTAATCAGATAAACTGAGCTTCTCAGGCAGTGTCAGATACAGAGCACAAAACAAATTGATATAGTGGAGCCAAACTAGAATCTGTACAGAATTTAGAATGGAATTCGTACCATCATGAACATCTCATCTATTGAAATACAATTGCAAAAGATACAGACAACAATATTAGAATGAAGGAGCTCTATGTGTTTGGTATTGTGTGTATTGCCCTGTGACATCCTAAATTGAGAGCAGCACAAAGAGCCGAAGCGCTGCCCTACTCAAGTCAGCTATTGGTCTTACCTGACCAATCCCTTCATGTAATGAATGTTAACTACCTAAAGCTTTTTACATACAAGCCAACAAGGCGTCTGAACTTGTGTGTCCCGAGCTCTTCTGAGGCGATCCTTTATCTGCATTAACATCCTGTTCCTCAAAATAATTCATGTTCAAGTCTCTTCACTAATGACTGGTTCTTTGTTCCTTTAAACTTGTTATTCCATCTCAGCTCCGCATCATTCTTCATTTTACTGCATGTATGAATCTTTCAAGCTGAACATTTGGCATTGTCAGTGTAAGAAACAACCCTAAATAAAGTTATGGATAATATCTTAGGTGACTTTGAACAGAGAATTCAAAATAACTGACTGCACCCTCCTCCTTCAATATTTCTCTGCCATCCATTTCTGAGACTGTTGACCTTTCCCATTGTCATTTCTACAAAGCAAAAAACACTAATGTCCACCTTGTCCACTTCATGCATTATTTTTGGCAATGGCTCCCTGCATCAAGCTTACTAAATAAATTTTACATTAGAACCTCCAAACTTATCCAAGTAAAATTTTTATGATCTGTCTTTGAAAAACTTTACATAACACACACATGTGAATCTGACATACAGAAAGAAAGAATTATGGAATCCCAACAGTGTGGAAACAGGCCCTTTGGCCCAACAAGTCCACACTGACCCTCAGAGAATCCCACCCAGACCCATCCCCCTATAACCCACATATCCCTGAACACTATGGGCAATTTAGCATGGCCAATCCACCTAACCTACACATCTTTGGACTGTGGGAGGAAACTAGAGCTCCCGGAGAAAATTCACACAGACATCGGGAGAATATGCAAACACAGACGCCCAAGGCTGAAATCGAACCCAGGTCCCTGGTGCTGTGAGGCAGCAGTGCTAATCACTGAGCCACCATGTCGCCCCTATTCCTATTGTGCTTTCCATAACTTCAAAAGGTGCAAAAGTGCTTCACAGCCAATGAGATAAATGATCAGGTAATCTGATTTTGGCATCGGTTGAGGGATTTCATGGTTTGTTGTCTCATTGACACAATAGCATTCTGGCAGTGCAGCACATTGCTATGCTGGGGTGCCATTAAGACCGTAAGACCAAAAGAAATAGTAACAGGAGTAGGCCATTTGGTCCCTCAACCCTGTTCTGCCATTTAATAGGATCATGGCTCATCCAACATTCCTCGCATCCATTTCCTGCCCTTTCCCATTCATCAAGAATCTATCCATCACAGCCTTAATTATCCACAAGGATTCTATCACCACGGCTCTCTGTGGGACTGAGTTCCAAAGACCTTCTGAGAAAAGAAATTCCTCCTCATCTCAGTCTTAAATTGGCACCCCTTTATTCTGAGACAATATCCTCTGATCCTAGGCACTCTCATGAGGGAAGATTCTGCACTATATGCTCAGATCTCTGGATGTGGATTAGAACCTACAAAAGTCCTGCTGTTAGGGCTAAATGTTCGTTTTTGGTCCATGAAACGTGAGTTGGTCCAAACCATGATTTATAAACTGCACCCATTCACCCTGTCTGATCTCACCCACCATTTTCATGGCTTTCAGGAGAGGGCAGGCTGAAGATACAATTTGTGAGTCAAGATTTTGTTCAGGCTTGGAATAAGTCTAAGATGGAGAATATTCCTCCTGTAGCTCATGTATAAAAGGGTACCAAAAATGCAGCATCAACACATCATCTCAATAAAGGCCTAACACACTGCTGGAGGTGCCCTCTGAACCTTCACTGTAAATGGTGGAGGGTATATTGCAGTCCTGTGTGACATGGCCTTGAAGTCATCCACCCTGAAAAATGCATCTGTGTGCTGTGGATACTGAGATTCTAAAGAGGTCAATTTGTACAGCTTTGTACTAAGCCAGTTGCAAAGAAATTTTTTGTCTCCATTACATTCAAGGCCACCAGAGTGCGCACCTCAGGATTCCCATTGGCTGGAGATCTACTTTTAAAAGCTTGTAAAAACTCAAGGATCACTTCTTAAGGCAGACATAGTTTCTTCTGACAGAAACAGGTCCATTTATGCATACTCTGTTTTTTACCAGCCACCAGCAATCTTCTATCTATATTAAGATGTTGCCCTCATACCATAAACTCATTTTTTACACAATAATGTGTGTGGTCCCTTGTCAAATGCCTTCTGGAAATGCACATATAGGTACTCCTTTATCCATAGCACATGTTACACCTTCAAAGAACTTCAACAAATTGGTTAAGCATAATTCTTTTTCATAAAATCATGCCGACTCTTCCCAATTATCTCTTTTTTATTTCAAATTTCCCAGCTATAACCTCCTTAATGATCAATTCTAATACATTCCTCATGACAAACACCAAGCAAACTGGCATGCAAGTTTTCTAATTTATGCTTCCCTTCCTTCTTGAATGGAAGAATTACATTTTCTACTTTCCAGCCTAATTGAAGTTTTGGGAAATTAGGAAATTTAATGCCTCACTAACCACCTCTTTTGAGACCCCAGGATTAAGTCCTTCAGAACTTAGCAACTTGCGTGTTCAGCACCACTTCCCTAGTGATTGGAAGTTCAGAGTTCCTCACGCCCTTCCATCTCCTGATTTAAAGCAATTGCAGGAATTTATTTTGTATCCTCTCTAGTGAAGACTGAAACAAAATTTGCTCATTTCATCTGCTATTTCCCTATCATCTACTATGAGCTCCCCACTCTCACTCTCTAGAGGACCAATGCTCACTTAGTTGTTTCATTTAAATACCATTGCAATCCATTTTTACATTTCTAGCTAGCCTCCTGTCATACTCTTTCTTCTGATTAATCTTTTAGTCATTCTTTGTCATTTTTTGTCTTCTGCACAATCATATGCTTTCCTCAATTTCCTTAGTTAACGACAGATGGTGAGTCCTCCACTTAGAGTTTTTCTTTATATTAGGAATGTAATTTTTCTGAATATTCTCCTCTTAAATGTTTGCTGCTGTGTCTCTGTTGATCTATTCCATAGCCTTGTATGCCAGCTCACTTCAGCTAGTTCAGTTTTCATGCCCACATAGTTGTCCTTATTTAAGTTTAAATATTAATCTTTAACCCAGTCATCTCCCTTTCAAAGTTAATGTAAAGTTCAACTATATTGTTGTCGCTGCTACCTAAAGATACCTTTTCACTTGAGATCGCCAGTTAATGCTGTTACATTACATAAAATCAAGTCCATTATAACCTTTCCCCTGGTTGGTTCCAGAATATGCTACTCTAAGAAGCAGATTGAAAGCATTCTATGAACTCCCCACCCAGGCTACCACTGAAATCTAATTATTTTAAAGTAGTTTTTGTGTAGATTAAAGTCATCCATGGTTATCACTGTCCCTTTATCACAAGCACCCATCTCTTGGATACTGCACCCTACATTGTGGTTACTATTAAGGGGACTATAGACCACACCTTCTAGGGACTTATTTCCTCTACTATTCCTCTCCTCCAACCAAACCAATTCTACATTCTGATCTCCTAAACCAATGTCATCTTTAACTATTGCACCAATGCCATTGATGATTAACAGGACTAGCCCTTTAGTGAGTAGTTTCTCAGCATTCTATGCCTCCTTCTCACAGGCACTTAGTGCATGGTGCCTCCTTGCCTTGGAGCTGTGCACATGGTAAGTCAGCGAGTTCCGGCTGCTGCTGCTGCTTCATCTGTTTCTCTGCGTCACAAATTGGATGAGACTGTCTGTTGTGGATTACAGATGGTTACAGAAAGTGCCTTTCTTAACAGTCAGAAGGCTGAGGTTGAAGGTACAGAGCTCCTTCTTTCTGGGGTTCAGATGTGGTAGGTGTGCCATTCAGGGAATCGTCTTTCCACTCCCACCTCCCTGTCATAATCTAAACTTGTTTGCAGGGACTGTCTGGTCCTTCAAAAGTTGCAGCAAAATATAAGGTGAGTTTTTGTACTTTCCTAAGCACCCAGTGTTGGCCTGCTGAATTTCTTCAATATGTGTGCTGCTGAAAATGGAGGAGTTAGTAATTGTGATTTTTATTCCCCTCCTACACTGAGGAACCCATGCCAATGGGGCAGATGTATATTTTACAGTGGAATCTTTGCTTTGAAAAATATGAAGTGTAACCATTTGCACGTTAAACATGTATCTGAACCCAGACAGAAATTTGGCCTTGAGGTGAGAATAACATCACCGGGGAGACTGGATAGGATCTCTCTCCATCCATGCCACACCAACCCCCATCCACACTCACACTCACACTCACCCTCACCCAAAGCACACACCAACCCAAAGTGCAAACAGGCAAGACGTGCTCATTGAGTCTGCGACCTCTGCATCCTCTCCCCCACATCATTTCACACAATCCCTCCCCCAAATTCTCCAATAACTCTTCCCCAAACCCAACACCTCTCCCAGCTGCTTTGCCTGCTCTTTCCCAGCCCAACGTCTCCCCAGTTTGCAGTCCACACAGAAGTAAAGTTCAGGAATGCTAGAGATTTTTTGGTGTCAGATTGTTTGATCATGACATTGGTTGCGCTGAGGACAAAGAATTTCTGTTTCCTCCTTGATATATTGAAAATATCACACATTTTAACGTACAAAACATTTCACACTGACACAACTGTTTGTTATGTTGGGTTTCTATTGAGTTTATCTTATGCTTTTTGCTCTCAGGAAACCGTGAGGGAGAAGATTTTCACCCCTCTAACTGTGGAAAGTGCAGTTGATGCCAGGTTAGAAAATGGTTATTTTCTTTCATTCCATTGACAGTGATCAATAAAAATCTGCCAGGCAAAGTAGGATTGAGGCAGACGCTCCTGGTGTTTCTGCAATGATTATGGGTGAGGAGGTAAGCCACTGCTTGTGATGCTGTGTTATTATTGGGTGAAGCTAATTGGAGGTAAAATCAGTGACATTAGATTGATGATTGATGTTATTGGAGAAAATGTATTAGCTGATATTTTGTTCACTACTTTACATTCAGAGAAGTCCAGTGCCCTGCTGTGAATACCATTTGTGCTCTGTGTTCATTTAGTGGACTTTGATCAAAACACTTGTTCATTGATTTCCTTTGCATGGTTTCATCTTGAGAGGAAAATTGCTAGTTACCTTGATGGAGGGACTGGTGTTGGGTGGTTTATTGAAAAGTTGGACATAGAGAGGCTGAAATTCCTGAGGGTTCATTTTTTGTTATTCTGGCATGATGCAGACATAACCCAGAGAGAGATGTTTATTTGTTCATTGGATGTGAGCACACTGGCTAGGTCAGCATTTATTGTCCAGTCCTTGAGAAGATGGTGATGAGCTACTGCAGTCCTCAGAAGATAGATCAACGCACAGTGCTATTAGGAACAGAGTTCCAGGATTTTATCCAGCCACAGTGAAACAGCAATGATATATTTATAAGTCGGGATGGTGTGTGGCTTGGAGAGGAACTTGCAAGTGGTAGTGTTCCCATGTACCTGCTGCCCTTGTCTTTTCAGGTGGTGGTGGTTTCATATTTCCAAGGTGTTGACAATGGCCAGAGACTAGCACAACTTCTGTGGAGTTTCAGTCTAAGGTTCATGAGATTTGTATATGATTGGAAATATGAACCCTAGAACTACTGGAGATATTTTGTTAGACCTCCAATAGTATTAATCATGCCTCCTTCGTGTCCTGGACGTTCAAGGACTGCCCATGAGCTTCAACCTCTGACCTTCTCTTAGTCCAATCCACCATATCTGTGTCCAGAAATCTCTGAAATTCCTCAATCATTTTCCCAGTTATTCATCATTAGTTCATGCAGGAGATTGGTGGAATCTCCAGGATGTGAAGGAGCTGGTGTTGGATTGGGGTGGACAAGGTCAGAAATCACACAAAGCAGGTTATAGTCCAACAGGTTTATTTGAAAACACAAGCTTTTGGAGCCTCACTCCTTCTTCCCCTGTTAGCGATAGAGGTAGTATCAGACACAGAATTTATAAATAAAAGATCAAAGGGTCAGATACTGTTACATCTTTGATAAGTCAGAAGGTTTTAATTGATTAATATGTATATGTAAAACCCAAATTCTTTCAAGCCACTGTCCTGAGAGAACTAAAGGTTTTATCATTGTAAAGAAGAGATGACATTTTAGGTCAGACAATGCATGTTAAGTGTGAGGCCTTGTTTAGATTCTGTTTGTGTTTTGGTTTAGAGTCAGACTGGTTTTGTTTCTAAAGTAGGAATATATAAAACACCACAATGACTGACTGTCTATAAATTGTGTGCTTTTGGAACAAAATGGAATGTATCTGCAAATACAAATTCACCCCATAGATTCGCGTATGTATGTAGGTATGTGTGTGTGTGTGTGTGTGTGTGAGAGAGGGAGGGATGCAAAGGGAGTGTGTGTGTGAGAGAGAGTGCATGTTGGTGAGAGAGTGTGTGTGCACAAGAAGGTCAGAGGTTAAAGCTCATTCACAGTTCAAACCTGAAAATTAAAATGTTAGTTTTGAGCATTAGAGGAATTTTTGATGGGCAAAGGAGTCAAGAGTTATGGGAAGCAGGTGGAAAAGTGGAGTTAACTGGCAGATTAAAACTGCAATGGTGGAATGGTCTTCTCTTTCTCCTAACTTTATGTTCTGATAACATGCAAACCAGTGTCCATCAGGAAGCGTGGAAGTGATCTTGGTTTACAGCAGGATTGGATACAAACTGTAACATTTTGGATGAGCCAAAGTTTATACAAAATGTGAGGCAGGCCAAGAAAGCATTTGATTATTCAAATCTGGAAATCACAAAGGCATTTGTGTTGAGGTGTTGAGGCGTGTTAGAGGTGGGCAATAATACAGAACTGGAAGTAGAATGCTTTTGTGACAGAAAAGACATAAGGTCTCAGCTAAGGTGTTGATTAAGATGCTGAAACTTTGAATGTTCTGGTTTAGCCCGAGACAATGGCCAGGGATGGAACTGGAATTGGTGATGAGGGGAATGGATTTGGGGATGGATTCAAAATGGCTTTGGTCTTCACAATATTTAGCTTGAGGCAATTGTGACTTATTCAGTGCTGCACATCAGACAAGCAACATGAAAAATCAGCAGTGGCCAATCACGAGAAGCAGCAGAGAGGTTGTACTGAACAATGTTTAAAGCATTCATGTGGATAATGTTGCCAAGGGCAACTAGGCAAGAGTTTTTTCCAATTGATACAGGTTCATGGACCAGGATGATTGAAGTAATCCCTGTTCTTTTCTTGCAGAGATGCTGTTGCCAAGATTCTTTACTCCTTGCTGTTCAGTTGGCTCACTGACAGGATCAACAAGTTGGTTTCCCCAAAGACAGAATCCTTGTCCATAGCCATTTTAGATATTTATGGATTTGAGGTATGTTCATTTTGCCAGAAAGGAAGCTGTGGAAAGGTGACTAACCTTTAATTAGCCTATCATGTTAAGAGAAAAAAAAGTTCCTTACTCCATCAGGATTTTATGAAAACAACTTCTGCATCAGTCACATCTCAACCATTACACCATTAACCCTTCGCCTGTGTCAGGATTCTTGGCCACTGAAGAATTTGTAAAGTAAGTCCGGTAAATAGAAAATCAAATCACTGTGCCCAAAATTTCTAAAAAAAAACTACGATCTCCTACAATATTCTTTTCTAAAATGTATTCATTGCTTTGCATCCCCTCCAGTCTCCGCAGTTGTTGTCTGTTCCCGTATACCTCCTTTTTCCATTCGCACCCATTAATAAGGACCGAAAGAAATCAGGAGAAAAAGCAGAAGGGACAGGAAATTCAGATGAGATCCAAATTCAAGTTTTGAGAGATGTTCTGAATATAACTCAATAACATAATCAAGCTATTCTTAAATCTCTGCAGCCCATGTTTTCTGTGTAAATGCTGTATATATGATGTCTGAACCTCTAGCTCCAAAACAAGATGAGGAAATACTTGCCCATAAGACAATACAGCTCTGGATTCATGTAGAAGAAAATAATCCTTACCTACTGTACGTAAATAGATTTGTGAATCCACACAACAATTAAATAATTTACATATGCAAGTCTGAGAGGTAACTGAACCACTTTTCTTGACACATAAAATGAGCAATTTCTCCAGTTTTTGAGTGATACACTGATGTCTCTAACCCTAAACTCTCCACTTATTCTTTTGTCTTGTTCACAGGATTTGTGTGTTAACAGCTTTGAGCAGTTATGTATTAATTATGCTAATGAGTACCTACAATACTTCTTCAATAAGATCATCTTCAAATTGGAGCAGGTAATAGATATAAAGTTTTGTTTTTAATTCTATGTGACTGCAAAATATCTATTTTCCTTTTGTAAAATAAATATATACAAATATCAGTGAGTACAATGAAAGATCATCAGCGTGAAATAAGAACTGCTTCCCTCCCACCAAATACTGTCAGATCTGCTGAGTATTTTTTGATTCTATATCAAATTTCCAGCATCTGCAGTATTTTACTTTGGTGATCTCTCTTTGTGTGAACATTTCAATCCTTTTTTCAACTCAATGGTATCAAATGAAAGCTGCAGCTCCAAATTTATTGCATCTTCCATATCTCTCTTTCAGCAATCAGACACTCACTGTATGGTACACATACCTGAGGACCATATAAGGGTGTGCCAAAATACTGTTCCTGTCCTTCCCTGAGAATTTATAATTGCATGCTAAGACACAGTTCCAGTCTTGTCCTTAAACCATAAAATGGTTTGCTAATGCACCGGCCTTGTTGTGTATTTCAACCATATAATGGTCTGTAAAATATATCAGTACTGGACAGGACAATCTAATGATGCATAACATACCATTTAAGTCCTATACTGGCACTATATAATAGGATGTAACACCACACTAACCCAGTCCTTACTGGGATGATGTCAATGTGTGCTAATGTACCACCTCAATCCTCTACTGGGGATGTATAATGATATGCTAACGCACTGTCCCATTCCTGTGCTAGGACCATAGAATGATGGATCACAAACTGTAACAGTACATAGCCCTTTAATTCTGCAATCATAGCTGTCCTGTGGGACAGTGAATGGATGCCCTACCCAACGTGTCAATGAGTTACACAATTTGTAAATGCTTGATGTTTTTAATTTCACAGTGTATGTTAAACCAACTGATCTCTTTTGCAATTGCTATGTTGTGTGTTTTGGGGTCCTTAATTTAGTGACAGCAAAAACAGTCAATGCCTTCATTCCTGAATCTTGCTCAATTTAAAAAATAAGTTCTGTCATGTGTTTTGAAGCTGCTGGCTATGTTCACCCAAGAAGACTGGTCATTAGGGATTGATGTTGGCAGGGACTTCTAAATCAAATCCAATCACATCATCATTGCCAAAAGTGGGGTTGGAGAAACCTACAGGCAACATAACGATCAATTTGAACCTAACCACTCTGTTTTATTTGACTAAGTTAATTTTCTTCTCCTTTAAATGATTTTAACTCCATGTATATTCCTTTTACAGGAGGAGTATATCAGAGAACAGATCGACTGGAAGGAAGTTACATTTAGTGACAACCAGACTTGCCTCGATCTCATCTCACAGAAGCCTCATGGGATCCTTAGGATATTGGATGACCAAAGCACCTTCCCACAGGTTGGAGGGATGTACATTAGAGATATTCCTGCTACTTACTAAACACAAAATAGCCTGTTAATAGGGCACTATCTTAAAGATCTTGCTAATTTACAATCTCCCTCCCTTTCTTGTCTCGTTCTGTTTCTCTCTTTCAGGATGCTCCTGAAATTTACAGGAAAGTTCAAGGCATCAACAGTAAAACTAAAGTCAGGTTTACCAGACATTCAATATGAACAATGTGATCGCTTCCTAAGTCTGTCTGCTAGAAAGCTGTAGGATTTGTTAAACCTTTGAACAACAGGCTGAGTGACTGTAACATTCTGTTCTTTCAAAACAGGCAACTGACCACACCTTCCTTCAAAAATGTCACTATCACCATGGCAAGAACCCTCTGTACTCAAAGCCAAAGATGCCTCTGCCTGAGTTCTCCATTAAACACTATGCTGGGAAAGTGACATATCAAGTAATTATCATTCCATTTTTATAACCTACCTCATCACTGATTCACATTGAGTTTAAAACTTAAAGTGTTTTCTTACTGAGCATTTCCTCCACAAATTGCATTATTAGGTCTGTGAGAAATTACAAGAACCAGGAAGTAATACAGGAAAAATTAAAATAGGAGGCATTGACAAAGAAGAAATCAAATGTGGAACTTTGATTTCAGTAGTAACCAATAGTAACTCACTGAAGTTTCCCTTATAACTAATAATCATACTGATGACACACAGATTCCCTTCATAGCCAATCAAAATATTATTATAACTCATTGAAGTGTCAATGTAGTGAGTAGATCTAATAGCTAAATATTTATTTCTAGAATCACTTTCTAGTAATAATCAGATAACCTCTTGATATTCACCTTGTTATTCACAGTCAAAATCCCCTTGCACCACAGAGTCTTATCAAGCAATATCATTAATGCTACTTTTAACAGGTCCAATCTCTCTCCATCTTTCCTCAGACTCTGGTTTTGCTAGGCCCTTGGAGAAGGTTGTATCTGTGGGAGCTTCAGTCAGACCAATTATTAGACAACTATTCATAATCATTTAAAAATCATGCCTGTCAAGTTGAGAGCAGGCTACCCACAGTATAAGAGGTATGATTTGTGGTCCTGTCAATGGTGCACCAAAGGAGAAAGCAGCAGCAATATGGACAGAATAAAACATATATAAGTGGTACTTAAAAGATTGACAGTCTGCCAATTATAAGAGGCACCCAGTCCAGATGGAATGTGATCTGTAGATCACTGAGGATGGTGAATGTGGAAATTGGAGAGGCTCTAGTCACATTCTTCCTATTATTTTTAGATGTGGGAGTGGTGCTAGTGAATTGCAGATGGTATCTTTCTGATCCAAAAAAGGAGAAAATCCTTGAAATTAATGACCGATAAGCCATTGGTCAGTGGTAGCAACATTGAGAGGCAATTATCAAAGACAAAATTATTTGGCATTTCAAAAAGTGTGAACTTATAACTGAAAATTAAACATAATTTTCCTTCTACAAATCAAGGCTAAGCACCTCAGAAATAAGAGCAGGAGTGGGTCATTAGCAAACATGGGTCAATCACATTATTTCTTCACTTCAGCTGGGTTAAATTCCCTTTCTATCAGTGTGAGTGTTATACTGCAGATCCACCTACCCCATAGTCATTCAAGAAGATGATTCACCGCCATCTTCTCAAGGGCAGTTAAAGAAGGGGAAATAAATGCTAGCCAGACAATGATGTCCATTTCCCATGAACAAATAAAAGGAGTGTGGTATAGAAGTCCATGGAATCAGTCTCTGGCCCATATCAACATTCATCAACAACACTCAGTGCTGATGTGGCACTGCTCACAGGAAATTCCCAAATTCCAGAAGATGGGCAGAACATTTTAACTACATCCTCAATAGGCCTTTATTTACCAATGAAGAAGCAATCAACAGGCTGCCACAGGTTGTCATCAATTGCTCTCTTGATGACCCTCCCATGCTATTAAAAATGATGAAAGATATCAAACCCCTGACTAGCTGCAAAGCTCTAGGTGCTGATGTTATTTCTCACTTAAGGTCCATAAGCTCTGGTCGTGAAGCTCACTGAACTCTTTCAGTTGATGTGAGAACAAGGGTCCATCCTCCAAGAATAAAAAGACACATCCATTGTCGCTTTGTTGGAGGGAGGAGTAACTCAATAAACTTGCAAAAATCAAAGAAGATTCTCACTTCTCTCCTTTGCCAGCAAACTTTTTGCATTAATTGCCCAATTAAGGGTTTTAATTGGTAATGGGGGCACTCTAGTCTTAATTTGGGCAGAGGTAGAAAGATGGCAGGGTCCTTCTCTGCCACTCTCACACCCGATAACTAACCCCAGAATCAGGAGGAGGATGCTAAATTTTATCCAATGATTCAGAGATAGTACGAAATACAAATAGAATAAGAAGCAGTGGGGAGAAAAAGAAGAATTTGGTGTCAAGGGATCAGATAATCAAATGGATAGCCTGAGATAGCATCTGTTGGGCATAGTTGATTTGTCAGCTGAATGGTCTTTTCTTTCTCCCTGCTTTCTTGCTTTACCATAGGGCTGAACAAATCTATTTTTCTGTTTCTATCTCTCACAGGTCTACAAATTTATTGAGAAGAATCATGACCAAGTTCGACAAGATGTCATGGAGTTGTTTGTCAACAGCAAAACAAAGGTGAGCTGGCAAGATTTGTTTGCCTGACAGCTCAATGCTAATGTGTGACTGATTTTAGTGATTGATGGAAAAGCCTTTAGCTTTGATAAAGCCAAGAAATATCAGAGGTGACAGAGAAATGTTCTGCTCAGACTCCCTTAGCCAAATGCACATTTATGGGTTAGCTGTCAGATGGTGTGCCATGTTAGATGATCTCCCAGACCCACATACTGACTGATCAGAATTATAAGTTCCTACAGCCTTGAAAGCAGATATATGAGTGGTGATCTGGATTGTTGTTTGAATATATGACAATAGTACATGGGATCACAGATTTAAACTAATAAAAGTTATACTTCAGATTGATGTCCACTACTTCTTCACTCAGTGATATTAATCACCATATGGAAGAAACTCCTAAATAAAGAAACTTCGGAAATCACATAAGCATTTTACACTAGAAGCATGGTAGAACCACACTGAATAAATTCGAGGGGGACTTCATCTGTAACAATCTTGAGATAATTAATCAAATTTCTACAGATTGATCAAAACTAAACCCAGAAAAATGCTGAAAATATTCATAAGTTCTGGCAACTTCATAGGAGGGAGAAACAGTTAATGTTTCAAGATCATGATAGCTCTCCTCATCACCCACAAGCCACTAGTTGTAGGCACAGTGGCTATTTAGGTAGGTACCAATAAAGTATACTAAATGTACTGCTCGCAATGCCGCCTGTATATGGGGAGACCAAATACAGATTGGCATTGGTTTTATGGAACCTTTCTGTTGAGTTCACAAGAATGACCTTGAGCTTTTTATCTGTCTTCCACAACCTTGAATATACTTAACAGTCCAAGCTCTGTACCCTCTGGGTAAAAAAATTCCACAGATTCACCATCCTCTGAGAGAAGAAATCCCTCCTCACCTCAGTTTTAAATGGGCAATCCCCTACTTTGAGATTATGCCCTCTGGTCTTGGAAAATTTTGCTATTGATGGAAAGAAGTAACATTCTTCTTGGATTGTTGCAGGTTTGTTGAGTTCCTTTGCCTCGTACAGGGCAATAATGGAGGAACCTCTTGGAGGATGGTGCTTTGTTCTGACATCGACTGAAAGAGTTCAGTGAGCTTCTTGGCCAGGCCTTGTAGATTGATGCTAATGATAACATCAACTCCTGGACCTTTACAGCTACACAGAGGGTTGATAGCTTCCTCCACCTAGCCCAAGTGCTGACATCTTGCTGTCCATGACCAAATGCTGTGTTTCAGTGAAGTTCAATGTGACCTCAAGGAACAGCACTACATCTTTCGACTAGGTATTTTGGATTCAACATTGAGTTCAACAGCTTAGACCATAATTATAGCTCCCCCATATTGTTTCTTCTTCTTGCATGTGTCAACTAAGAGCCCATGTTGTTTTAGGTAGTATATTAGTTTGCATAGAATATTGGCTAACTAATGGAGAAAGAGAGTTGGAATAAGGGGGAGTGGCTGATTTTTAGGATGGCAACCAATAACTAGTTGAGTGCAACAGGGATCAATACTGGAGCCACATTATGTACAATATATATTAATGATTTGGTTGAGGGAAGTGAATGTATTCTAGCCAAGTTTGCAGATGTCACAAAAATAGGTGGGAAGGCAAGTAGTGAGGATGCCACAAAGAGTTGGCATAGGCATTTAGATAGGTTAAGTGAATGGTCAAAAGCTTTGCTTATGAAATACAATATGGAAAAATATGAAGTTATGCATTTTTGCAGAAATAGAAGAACTGAATATTATTTAAATGGAGAAAGACTGCAGAAAGCTGCAGCACAAGAATTTGGAAGTCCATACGCATAAAGCACAGAGAAAACTAACATACAAGTTCAGCAGTAATAGGGAAGGCAGTCCAGAGAAGGTTCACTAGGTTGATCCCAAGTATAGAAGGTTTTTCTTATGAGGAGACCTTAAGTAGATTTGACCTGTACTCAGTGGCATTTAGAAGACTGAGAAGTGACCTTTTTGAAACATATATGATCGTTTGAAGAGTAATCATCCTGAAACATTAATGGTGTTTTTCTCTCCATAAATGCTGCCAGACTTGCTGAGTATATCCAGCATTTTCTCTGTTAATTTCAGAATTGCACCACCTGCAAATTGTTAATTAATGTGCACAATTCTTCCAAGTTGTATTGTCTCCCTCCTCATCCAGCACCACCTTCATCCACTTCCAACTTTCCAAACATAAGACCTAACTCTAAGCCGAGCCCTAACCCAAAGCATTAGATGAGCCATAGGAGTTACCAAATTTATTAACTAAACGAGATTAATGACAGGATTATAACAAATTAATTTTTTTTTTGTTTATTAGATTCTAACTAGTCTCTTTTCTGGACAAACCATGAAAGTGATGTCAACCAGGAACAATACTATTAACCACAGATACCAGCCTCCCACTGTAGCAGCAAAATTCCAACAGTCTCTGATGGAACTGGCAGAGAAGATGGAAAGGTAAGTTCAGAACATGGAAGCAATGTTCTTCCCTTCCCCAACCAGAATTACACACTTCCATTCTCTTAACTCTAATCCAGTCTGCCTTATTCCTCCTCTCAGCTCAGCATTCTGTCCTCCTAACTGACTAACTTTTTAACCCTTAAACCTAACACCTAAGCCTAAACTCTAGTGCTAAAACTAACCTTAATTCTTGCATTATTGTTCCTTTCGCAGTTCAACTCCTCACTTTAACCCTAATCCTAAATTTACCTCACTTGCTTCATTTTTTATCTGACTGTTCTGGTTGCTCCAATGAAATCTAATGATTAAGATTAACTCTAAAGTGTAATTTTAACCCAACAAATTCTGCCAAAGTGCTAACCAATGTTCTCAGCTCAACCAATTCATCTTATATCTGTTTATTGCATTAAGTGTGTATAAGTTTGCAGGCATGTTTGCCTGCTTTGAAACATATCCACTGCATTTGAAGTAATTTATTGTTTGTTAAGTACTTTTGATTTTGATTTTCTGTAATTAAAACAGAATGTTCTGGAGAAACTCAGCAGGTCTGGCAGCATCTGTCGAATGAGAAATAGAGCTAACACTTCGAGTCTAGTTGTACTGGAATCATACTGGACTTATACCATTAATTCTGTTTCTCTCACTGCGGATGTTGCCAGATTTGCTGGGTTTCTCTAGCACTTTGTTTTAATTTCAGATTTCCAGTGTCTGCAGTATTTTTCCTTTACATAAGATTTTATCTGATGTAATGAGGTGTAATATAAATGTAATCTAGTCCTTCATTTAAGTACTTTTCAGAGTTCAGTCTTGGTTTGATAAACTGATCATCATAAATACATGTTCTGTTTTTTCAGCTGCAATCCTTTCTTTGTTCGCTGCATCAAACCAAACAATAAGAAGGTAAAGCAACTAATAAAAGGAAAAACAGTGTTCTCCTTGAAATCCAAGAATGTATTATGAAGATCAACATCTCTTGCTAGCTTGTAACTGTATCTGTTTTCAGGTGAACCTTAATTGTGGAGCCAAAGGCTGCATTGCAGCATACTGGGAAAAAATAAAAGTGGAAGAAGTATTTAGATTTGTAAGGGAAATAATAACTTGAACTTAAGATGAGAAGTGGAGATTGGATACAGACCTTGGTACACAGACAGTTATCTATGCAGAGAGAAGTGAGTGTCTGGTAAGAACAGGCTAGGGACAACATGCAGTTAAATTTCAGGCAAAGTGGATATCTGTTTCAGGGGTCAGTCAATTGAGTGGATTAACACTTTGCCCAGTCAAATAGATTGCACTCTTTGTTCTCCCTTACTTTTCATTTTGTCTAAGATGAGTTCAACCAGGAAATGACAACTCATTGAGACAAAGCTGGACTTGAATGTCTACAGCTTGAAAGAAAGGGAAACCAGAGGGAGATAAGAAATTGCACAGTGTGATTTATTGGGAAAGATGTGCATAAGAAGAAACTGTCATCACTCTAATTTCAACACAGTGAAGATGCAATGAAATGGCAGATCATTTGGAATGGAGTACTTGTAGACTAGGAGAAAGAGAGGGATAAGCAGAGGTGCATTGATCATCGTGGTTTGGTTAGGACAGATAGAGATGAGAGTGTCTCAGCTAGTGAAGATAGTGAGTGAATGAGTGATATGGAAAATTCAGAGTTTGACTCTGTCGGTTTTAGCATCCTTGGATTTGAAAACTGCCCGTGACATTCACTGAAAGTTGGATACATATGGATTTTAGTGAGGATGGCATAGGGGTTTGCTTCCTTAGACTGTCAAATAGCATGTTGACACTCACACGTGAAGAATAGCTCTGGAGCAAGATACCAGAATATGTTCTGGAACCGTTTGCCAGCAAGGAGTTAATTCATGCCAGAGAGGAGGGAAGGGCAGAAAATGAGATGAGAACTTACTACAGAGGTTAGAGGAAATAGAAGGACAATCTATCAGATGACAAACTGAGGTGAACTTCTCCCTTTCTATAGGAGTCCGAACTTTTTGAGGTCGATGTTGTCAGCTTGCAGCTACGCTATTCCGGAGTTCTAGAAACTATCCGTATCCGGAAGGAGGGATATCCTGTCCGTATTACATTTGATAATTTCATCAAGAGGTCAGTATGAGATCTGTCTATGCTGGGATGTCGTGTCATGCAAAATGCACTAATCTTTAAATCACAATTTCTACTAGACTTTCATTATCGGATGGGCAAATCTTCAAAGGATTTGGCAGCACCATAGCTTAACTGTGTTCCACACTTTGGGCCTTGAATTTGATTCCAGTCCAGATAATGGTGTCAAAAACTGTTTATCCTGTTCACTTCAAGAAGCAGACAAGGTCAATCAAGAAATGGTGACTAGATGCTGATCAATTTGGATTGTGAGGTCTGTAGACTTTAGAATGCAGTGCAAATTTAACAATGTAAGGTGAGGAGTTCCACTGCCTTGAGATGATGGAAAATAACGAGTTAAATAAAAACAAATTTGCATTTATGCACTATCTTGAATGACCTCAGAACATTGCAATCACTGAAGTGCAACTATTGCTCTGATTCAACGCAATGAACCTTCAGAGAAAGGCTTAGGCCCATTAGACCCCAAATGAAAATGATCTATAACTGAATGGACTATCTCAGTTCAGGCTCTGATAACACAAAGATTTAATGTTGGTGCTGCAGGAGATGAGCTTGTGATTTGAAGTTAAATTGAGGTGAAACTGACTCTACAGATCACTTCATGCAGAGGCAACTTATAAATGCCAGTCTGTGTCCTGCCCACCATGTCTGTCTTAAATTTCAATAGTGGCTGTACCTGATTTTCCATACATTTCAATTAAAGGCAGAAGATTTTGGGTAGTACCCAGCTGAACTTTTAATATGTGATCACTGAACTTTACAACTCTCTTTTCTTTCATTTGACATCAGGATGTGAATGATGCTGTCATGTGCAGCATTTATTGTTCACCTCCAGCTACCCTGAGAACGGAATGGTGAGTCAATTGTATCTCAACTGATAGCAGAACCACTTCAAGAGGCATTAAGGTTGAACCACACAGTCAGAAATCACGTGACACCAGGTTATAGTCCGACACATTTATTTGAAAACACAAGCTTTCAGAGTCTTACTCCTTCTTCAGGTGTTAGGTGTGACCAACATCTGAAGAAAGACTAAGACTCCGAAAGCTTGTGTTTTCAAATAAACCTGTTGGACTATAACCTGGTGTCATGTGATTTCTGACCTTGTCCACCCCAGTCCAACACCGGCACCTCCACATCAGAACGACGCAGCATAAGACTGGATGTGGAGGTCTGATCGACTGGAACGTAGGGTTGCCTTCCTTTAAAGATATTGGAGAGACACTAAGGTGTTTACAGCTTCTGAGACTAAAACCAATTTGACTTCAACCCTTAGCCTACGCTACAACATCCAGTCACATCTGTGGCATGAGCGTTAGAATTTGAATGGTTGACCTAAAGAGAAGAATGTTCAGCTCGGATCATCATTGCAGTCACCAAAATGCAAAATGAAAAGTTTCCAGATGTAGATGTTGGCTTCTCCTTCTTCCACGTTGGTCTTCTCCCAAAACCTCTCCTTTGCAGCCTTGGTCCTGATTCAGCCATAATTTGATTTCCTTCTTCAACTGTCCCTTAATATTCCCCAACTAAATAGGCCCCTCGTCGAGTTCTGGATCTCCAGTTCAAAAAAGAATATGCAACAGACAGCAGATAAATGAACTGAGAAATCTTCGAATTTTTCAAAAAGGAAGGTGTGAGGACGCCCAACTAAAGGAATGGCCAAAGGACGTGCAATTTTACATTTTACAGCCTTCATAGTTTGAAAATGTATCGTTAGCCAAACAAGATTAGTAATGCAAACTTTTCTTGCAGGTACAAAATCTTATTGGGATTGACACATCAGATAAAGGCAGACGGCGAGAACTGTATAACCATCTTGAAACAGATTGTATCTGTCAGCAAAGGAATGTACAGCATCGGGCTCACCAAGGTCTGATCAGAAATTTATCCATATGACAATCTCAAATCCACTTTGACATTATCATCTGATACTGTCCCTTGTATTATAATTGCTTAAACCAGATTGGATACAACAGAGATTTTTTCCCAATGGCATCCATTACTTTTGCTCCCTGTCCTCCTATTTCTGTCCTCTCTTCAAGTCATTAATTATTGTTAGGTACAATTCCACAGACACTAACTCTTGCTGGGGTATATTTCTACAGAAACTGAATCTCACTGGAGTGCAGTCCACAGGCACTGATTTTCAGTGCATAGAAATATAGAAGCTGTTAGTAGTACAGTGGTTCAGTGGTTAGCACTGCTACCTCACAGCACCAGAGACCGGGGTTTGATTCCAGCCTCAGGCAAATGTTTGTGTGAAGTTTGCACATTCTCCCCATGTCTGCGTGTGTTTCCTTCGGCTACTCCAGTTTCCTCCCACGATGCAAAGATGTGCAGATTAGGTGGATTAGCCATGCTAAATTGCCCCATACTGTCCAGGGATGTGTAGGCTAGGTGGATTAGCCATGGGAAATTCAGGGTTACAGGGATGGGGTGGGCCTGGATGGGATGCTTTTCGGAGGATCAGTGTGGACTTTATGGGCCGAATGGCCTGATTCTACTCTTTATGGGATTATATGATGATAATCTATGAAAGCTGCCATTCCAGGAATCAGTCTGGTGAATTTTCGCTGCTCTCCTTTTATGGCAAGTATATCTTTTCTTTGGAAAGGAGACGAAAACTATGCACAATACTCCAGGTGTGGTTTAACCAAGGTCCTGTACAGCTGCAATAAGACTTTCTTTTCCTCTGCTCAAACCATCTTGCAATTAAGGCCAATATACCTTTGGCCTTCATAATTGTTTACTGCATCTCCATGCTTGTTTTCAAGGCCGGTATGCAAGGACACCCAGGTCCTTTTGTACATTAACATTTCACAATCTATCAGCATTTAAATACTTTTGTTTTTGTGTTGTGGCTTTCCTACCCAAGTGGACAGTTTCACACTTATCCACACTTATCCATACTGCCCTGTCGTTGCATGCATTTGCCCACACAATCAACTTGTCAAAACCACGTTGAAGTGTCTTCATATCCTCCTCACCACTCATAATCCCACCTAGTTTTTTGCTGTCAGCAAACTTGGAAATATTATATTTGATTCCATCATTCGAATTGTTGATATAAATATTGTGAATAGCTGCGGACCAAGCACTGATCCCTGCAATACTTTCTACTCCATAAATGCCTGATTTGTTCCTGACTGCTGACGAATTCTCAGTCCTTGCTGATATACTACCACAAATCACATGTACCACAGACACTGACTATTGTTTGTGTACCGTTCACAGGCACTGGCTGTCACTAGGTAAAGTTACACCCTCTCATTGGGTATCATTCCGAGACAGCAACCATCTTTGGGTGCAGTTCCACATGCAGTGATTTTTAATGAGGTTCAGTCACAGGCACTGACTATCACTGGAGTATAGATCAGGGTCAAAGGTTATAGTCCAACAAGTTATATTTGAAAATACAAGCTTTCTGAGCTCTGGCTCCTTCCTCAGGCACAGTGTGAGAGAGAGGGTATAAGACACAGAATTTATAATCAGTAAGGTTACCTGGTGTTGTGTGATTTTTGACCTTGTCCACCCCAGTCTAACACTGGCATCTCTACATCATGGGGTAAAGATCCAAAGGTGCTGACTTTTGCAGGGGTACAGACCCACAAGCACTGCTTCTCATTGAAGTGCAGTTCCACGGATCCCTATCCTTGATGGCATACAAAGCAATGGTCTCTTTGCTAAGTTGTAGTTTCATTGAATCTGATTCTTCCTGGAGTATAATTGCCTACTAACTTGGTTTTCAAAGAATATTGTTCTATGGATGCTAAACCTTGCTAGGGTACATTCTACATGCAGTGAGTCTTTGCTAATATAAAATTGTGTGGAGATAATTATTTCTGCGAAATTTTGAGGGAAGTTTGGCCTTGTTGCTGAATGGTTCCAAAGGTGCTGGGGCTCCTGATTTGGAGAAAGTAGAAAGAGGTTGGTATTTGCTAATGAGAAGGGGTCACCTTCTAGAACTTTGCCTGATTGACTGTTCTCTTTTAGAATCGTATAATGGTTACAGCACAGAAAGTGGACATTCAGTTCATTCCGTCTGTGCTGATTCTCTGCAAGAGTATTTCACCTAGTCCTACTCCCACGCCTATTTTCTATGACCCCAGAATTCTTTTCTCTTCAGCCAAGTACCCAAATCTCTTTTGGAAGACTTGACTGAATCTACCTCCATCACACTGTCAGGCAATGCATTTCACTCACTGCGTAAAACTGATATATTTAACTCTAGACAAATTTTATTAAATACTGAATACTAGACACTAACATTTGTACTGGCTAGTGTGCTAATATTCAACAGAACCCCAAGTTCAACAATATTTGGAAATTTTTTTTATCCATTCATGGGATGTGCGAATCACTAGCTAGAACAGCATTTATTGCCAATCCCTAATTACCCTTGAGAAGTTGCCTCCTTCAAATGTTGCAGTCCTGAGGGTGTAGGGACATTCATAGTGCTATTAGAATGGTAGTTCCAGGATTTTGACCCAGTGACAGTGAAGGAGCAGTGATACAGTTCTAAGCCAGAATAGTGTATGTCTTGGAGGGGAACTTGCAGATGGTGATTTACTCCTGCATGTGCTGTCCTAGTTCTTCTAGGTGGTAGAGGTCATGGGTTTGGAAGGTACAGTCTAAAGAAGCCTTGGTGAGTTACTGCAGTGCATCTTGTAGATGGAACACACCACAGTCGATGTGCATTGGTAGAGCAAGGAGTGAATGTTGAAGGTGGTGGATGGGGCGCCAATCAAGGGAACTGCTTTGTTCTGGATGGTGTCAAGCTTCTTGAATGTAGTTCGGGCTGCTCTCATCCAGGCAAATGTGGAGTATCACCTCACACTCCTGACCTGGGCCTTGTAGATGGTGGACAGTTATTGGAGAGTCAGGAGTTGAGTTGCTCACTGCAGAATTCCCAGCCTTTGACCTGCTCTTGTAGCCAAATTGTTTATGTGACTAAAAACCAAAAGAACTGCGGATGCTGTAAATCAGGAACAAAAACAAAGTTTCTGGAAAAGCTAAGCAGGTCTGGCAGCATCTGTGAAGGAGAAAACAGAGTTAACGTTT